GTCTGTCTGTCTGTCTGTCTGTCTGTCTGTCTGTCTGAACAACTTCTTTTCGGTATGTTGTCCTATTTGTCTGCCCGGCTATCCATCTGTCTGATCGTCGTTACCGTAATACACGCCTGACAACTTACATGGCGTCTGCCTCTAAGCTGTGCCTGGGCATGCGATGCTTGTGTGTTGTCGTGCGTATGTCTGTTTGATCGAAGTGTATTGCCGAGGCAACAACGGCTGGGTGAACATGTAAACAAGTCTGTCAGGTGGAGAGGTTGTTGTGGCAAAATGTGAGTTAGAGTGCACACCATCCTGTCCGTTTAGCGGATAACCGGGTTAGGAAGGTAGACGAGTTGTATTAGTGGCAGGACGAGGTAAGTTTAGCGAAGAAGGGAAGAAGAGAAGAAGAGAAGAAGAGAAAAAGACAAGAAATGGAGAAAGAGTGCAAGCGTAGCACCAGGCCGACTGGGAGCCATTCATCTGTCCCGATCTGTCCCGTGCCATGGCTACGGGATGGAAGAGTAGGAGCTAGTTCGACGTGTGCAGGCGCATGCATTCTGTTACTATGCTTTTCTGGCCAGAGCACCAGTCAACCGACCGGCTAGGCCGACAATATGGGATAATTCACAGTCGAGTCGGCCAGGCAATGTGTGGTTGGCCGGTTGAGGGCCAAGTAGAACGCGAATCGGACCTGCCCAACAGACAACGATCCATTCTGAAGGGGGCTTTGTTTTCGCCAGGCAACCAGAGGCTTGGGCTAAGTCGGCCGGCCAGGCATACGGTACAGTTACTGCTCATCTCTGCCTCTGGCCACGTGGCCTCCACCGGCAGCAGCGCCTGGACGTGCCACCATCGGCCAGGCCGGTCCTGTGGAGCGGGCCTCGCGCTCCCCTCCGTGCCAACCGTAGTCACGGACACAAGCACCCGACGGCAAGCCCATAAATAGCCCACCTGGGGCTGACTGGCTTGCAGGCCAAGTTACTGCAGGCCAGAAGCACCTGCGTCTGCCCACGCTTTGTGACGCGGCGTCCAATTTGGTAGGCCTACTGCTACACACGAGCGATCTCGTCTTTCCTCTTTCGGCTGAATGATTGATTGATTGATTAATTTAGTGACTTGCCAGCCACTTATTGGATGATTCCAAAATAGATTACTTGTAGTATGCAGGGGAAATGGAAAGTGAGGTTGCGAAAAAATGTGTGAAAGAATAGACTGATGCTAACGGATTGCCAGCCTGGCAGCGTTGTCCTGCTGTCTAGGCCGAAGCTATTTTTATCGAGTTCTCTCTCAGCCTTTAGCCTCCACTAGGTCTATCTGAATGGATGGCCGGGTGGCTGTATGGTTGGATGGCTGGACAAAAGGGATGTAAGCAGAAATCGAGGAAAGCAAAAATTGTCAGCTATTCAAAGTTGGTCTGGAAATTGCTGCGCACCCCGGGGAAGACAGCAAGCAGAAAGGATGAACAGAATCTGTGGAGAAGGAAGTAGAAATGATGGAATCATAAAACAAGATAAAATCCTCACTTTTTCATTTGCCCTTCTCTTCTATGCACCCTCTCGCGAGTCAACGGTGGAATAGGGCTTGGTCTCGGTAAAATGTTTTATCCTGCTAATCGATAGCTGACAACACTTTGGACATTTACTTCATCGAAATATACTCCTCAATCTGCATTCAAATGACTCTTGTCACTTCAATTTCACCTACCAATTCACTCTATTACTAAGTTGCCCATTCACCCAACTCATATGCTCTCAATCTTCACCACCAACTAAATCATTATAGCTCATTGCCCCACGCATTCATTCCTCCATTTGTTCATTGACTTGCACAATAAATAACTCATTGCCAATCAGGCCATAAACTCCATTTCTGATTTCGTCAACTTCGACTTAAAAGTCTATAATTTACTGAATTACTCGTTGGCCCATTTGACCATTCCCTCACAGGCACAATTTACTAACCGTTCACTTCATTATGCTTTCTTGTAGTTAGTTTTCCTTTCACGCCTTCATTCACTTGTCTGCGTAATTTTTCATTTTTTCATCCGTAAACTGTATCATCCTGCAGCTAAACTTATGCCTAATTTTTCCCTCCTTTGCTCGTCCAGACACACACTGAATTGTTCAATCTTTTATTCCATCATAATTATTCATTTGCCTACTCTTCTCTTTTCACTCTCCCCACTACTTGCTCTTGGCCATTCACATATTATTTGAATGCCTGCATTAAACGTTTACTACTATTGCTTGACTCATTTGGTCAAAAAATTATCATATGTATTTGCCCATGTACTTCTCAAGAATTAATTCGCTTAAGGACTTAAAAACCTAACAACTACACTAATACCTCATGGACGCACTAATCCTTCCTTTCAATTGTAAGATAACTCGCTTAAACAATAGTATAATTATGTTCATATTCTAACACACTTGCTATGTCATTCATTTACTCCTCAATCATTTATTACCTACTTGAGCTATTCTCCTTTCTTCCGCC